CTGCCAGTCCTGTAAATCGTTCCAAAGCTCTGCTCAGAACACATTTATTTGTTTACTCAAGTGGACAATATTATGTTAAGTGCTTTCCACGGTTTTCCTGAAAGGCTCAGTTTATTTATAAACTATCAACGGAGTCAATACGTTTCTAATGGGCCACGTGTGAAAATCAATTTCCCTAGGAGGGAAAAAAAGTGGAAAAAAGTCATCACAGCAACAATTTGAGTAGGAAAGTGGATGGGCAGATCTACTCAAGGCAATGCTAGTTGGCCACTCGGGTGGGGAGAGAGAAGCTGTGACCTCAGTGAGCTCAGGGACAATTTAGGGGAATATATTTATATCTGTAATTGGATTTCTCTTCCAAAAGAAACACTGATGTGCCTTACAGGTCTTGAACCTCCTCATGCAAGGTCAGCTGGTAAATTTTGAAGGCTGTTCTTCAAACAAGAGCACTTTTAGGAAAATACACTGCCCAAACTTCAACTTCTCTGCAGGGAGATTTGGAGACAGACAAATCCACAAAGAGTCAAGTGCTGAATGCTGGGACCCAAAAAAAGACAGCTCTTGAAAAAAAAAGGGGTGGAAAGTAGGGAAAGAGAGATTTTTCCTCCTTCCCACCTTTTTCTTCCAGAGTTTCCAGGGGGCTGGGGTGTAGCTGAGAGAATGATTTACCCAAAAATTGGGAGTCAAGCACACAAAGTCAGAAAGTAAAGAAGACTGAGGCAGCAAAAGGCAGGGAGGCACAGCCACTGCTCTGTCTGAACCCTCATGCTAACTAGAACGAGGAGAAATTGCCTTGGCAGCCTTGCAAAAACCTGATTTGTTTGCCCTGCTAGCACATGCCACTGAAAATATGATCCATAAATCCCGGCAGTGATCGGGGCTCTCCAGAACACTTCGCATCAGCTGCTGGGAATCAGGAGGGCTGGCTGGGCTGGGAGGGGAAATCTGTCACAGGGCAACGAGAGACCCTGCCTTCCTCACCTGGGCAAGGGAGAAAATGGGACTGGATGGGGATTTTTTGCCAGGGGATGGAGGCCAAGAGTGCCCCAAGGGTGCCCCTGGCAGCTCAAAGGCCGAACACCACAGCCTGTGATGGAGCTCACGGTGAAAAATAAGATTATTTCACCACAAAAAGGCAATTTCACAAAACCTAAGCCCTGGTCAAAGCCTCATCTGTAGCTCCCTGTCCCTCTGCTTGATTTGACATCATCCCTTCCTTCCAAGGGATGTCACCCTGCTGACAGGCTACAGCAGAAATGTGTCACACTCTCTGGGGGATTGGGACACCAATTTCCCCTCCAGCTCCAGTTCCAGGCTGACAATTCAGCTCAAAAACCTCGTCCTGTACGAAGACCTCTTTATAAATCACCAAACAAAGAAGAGAAAGCAGGAAACAAGACAAAAAACCCCAAACCTGAACTGATTTATCTGGTCTGTGGGAGTTGAACACGGCAGCTGCTTTATCAGCAGAAACACCTGCACACAATTGTGTCAGGGAACAAAACTGCACCCAGTGAATTGCCCTGCCTGACTTGAGGCACTGGGAAAGCTCCTTTACACCTTCCCCCTCAGAGTAATAATTTTAATTGTTTCAATTATTCCCATCTAATTGTCAAATATTTTGAAATTTAAGCCCAGCCTGAGGTCCGGATGTTATTAAAAAAACCAAAAAACCAAAAAAAACAAGCCAAACAGAGAGAGAGAAAAAAAAGACAAAACCCAATAGCTACACAGAATTAACAAGCTAAAAGAATTAATTGTAGCGTGGGGTTTTGGAGGCATCCAACACCCCTCCTACTCTGTGCTGCTGATTTCAGGGATTTCCAGTGCTGGAAGGAACATTTTCTTCAATGCACAGCAGTCTGCTTTCAATGGGCTATTTGTGCAGCATTATTATTATTATTATTATTATTATTATTATTATTATTATTATTATTATTCTGCACATCATTGCCCCCTCACATGGCCGTGAGCTCTGTGGAGACCCAGCCTTGCCAGGGAGAAGGGAAGAAATGATGAACAGCTCTGAGATCATCCCAGCACCTCTTCAGGGAATTCCATCCCTCCCAAAAGTCCCAGAGCCTGGGAATCATCACCAGGAAGAAAATTGGGTTGGATGGGGATTTTTTTGCCAGGGGATGGAGGCCAGGAGTGCCCCAAATGAAGGATGTGGGGAAGACAAATGCACCAGACCATTAGGACTCCTGGAAAATTTGCCAGGCTGCTGCTGCTGCTGACAAAAACAGGTCCCTGGAGCTGGCTGAAGGAGGCTGATAATGAATTTGCACGCAGGAAAGGAGCCTGTGGATGTTTTTACATTGGGCTGCTCGCCTCAGCTCCCATGGAAATGTGTTGGGGGCTGAGGGTTCTCCTCATCTGCTCCAGTGATCTGCTGGGTCCAGAGGGGCCCCAGGCTGGGACAGAGGGGCCATCACCCCCAAAAATCCCCTCCCGTGCCCCAGCACACAGAGAATTCCCTCCTCTCACACTCACAGAGAGCAGAGCTGCACCACACCACGAGCTGTCAGCTGGGATGTGCTTATTAAATAAAATTAATGCTAAAAGACAGAAACAGAACTCCCCTCTAGAGCTGCAGGGCAGGTGTTTAATTCAGCATTTTATCCTATTTTCTCCTCTTTTTTTCTATTTTGCCTGAGATATTTTTCCATCTCCGAGCAGCTCAGTGCTCTGCAGGCTCTCTATTCCCTTTCCTGATGGGTTCTCTCTCCATTTAAGCCATCTTTTTGCTTGCTCCCCTTGACAGTAGTTCACTCTGATTTTATCTTTTCTATTAGGCAGTGATTGCAGAACCTCAGAGGGTTCATTAGGAGCTTGATAATCCCTCCAGATTTATGAGCCTAAATTGCTCACTCCCATCTCCAATCCCCATTTAAATATTACTAATTTCCTTAAACATCTCTTCCATCTGCCCAGGTTTTGTCTGATGTCACCTTCCCATAATGATCCCTGCCAAAAATCCTGTTAGTTCTGCTAAGAGCTGGGCTTTTGGACTGAGTGGTAAAATAACCTGGATAAACAGATTAATACCCTGAGAGAGTGAACGACAACAAAACTCATTTCTTTCTCATCTGCCATAGCTGCATTCCATGAGATGAATGGGTTAGAAAGGCAAATTTCACCTCCAGCAAATGCTTAATCACACCCGTGCTCAGGACTGGGGTGGGGGTGGAGGTGGGAGCTTCATTTTTAGAGCAGCATCCATGAGATGCTGCTCAGACAACAGAAACAACTCCAAAAGGACTTTTTTTTGCAGATTCTGCTGGTGATGTGAGGTGGAAATCGCTCAGTGTGTGCCTAGCCCTGCTCTGTGGGACTGGGAATGGGTTGGGGAGGGCAAGTGGGACAGGAAGAGCTGTTGGGAGCACTGGAAATATTTCCTGGGAGTGGGAATGGCTGGGATTGGCACTGTGGGCAGATCTGGGTGGGATGGCACTGTCCCTCTGCCAGCACTGACACCGTGACCTGGGGCACACAGCAAAACCTCCCTGTGCCTGTGCTGCCCATTCCAAGGGGAATTCCAAGCCCCAGTGAAGTTTGTCTGGCTGGACTGACCCCTGGATTGGACACTGAGCAGAAACCCAGCCAGGAGCTTCGTGGCCTTTTCTGCTCCTTGCATTTCTCCCTGTGACACTCCTTCCCCTCATCCTTTCTCCACCCTGTGCCCCAAAACTGCTCCCAAGCCTCCATCTCCCTCCTTCCCCTGCTCCTCTCCTCTCCAGCTCCCTGCCCACACGTTTGGCTCCGTCCCTTCCCGTCTGTCTCCCACCCAAACACAAAGTGTGATTCAGCTCTCGGCTTCCCTGCCAGGAACATTAATAGAAATTAGGGAATGGGAGAATCACTCGGGCTGGGAGGCAGCTCCACTTCACCCCCCAGGCTTCCACAGCAGCACTCACAGCTCCTGGTGGCACCCCCTTGGAGGAGAAGTTCCCCTGATGTTTATTTGGGATTTCCCCCTCTGCTGCCTCAGCCCATCACTCCTTGAGGAGTTTAGCCACACCACAATCCCATTAATGTTATTAATTAAGGACAGCATCCCCTGCTCTCAACATTTATGGCATCATCCTTCCTTTGTCTCAGGGCACGGGGCTGCGATGCCTTCCAGGGGCTCATCCCTGGCTTTTTCCAACACAGGGAATGGGCTCAGGGGGGTGACAACACCAGCATAACCCCAAAAATCAGGAAAATCAGGACAACCAGGACAACCAGGACAATCAGGAAAACCAGGACAACCAGGAAAACCAGGAAAACCAGGACAATAAAGATCCATCTATCTGCTGGAGCTTCCTGACCTGCACATGTCATTGCACCAGCTCCTGTCACAATGTCCACAATTCCTGCCTTTGGATGCTGCACCAATCGTTTTCCATCTCCCCAAGACCTTCCCAGCTTTGCAGGAATGATGCCTGAAGATTTTTTTTTTAGCTTTTTATATATTTTTCATCTATTTGTAGCATCGTAGCTTTTTAATATGTAGTTGTAGAGTTTCTAGTGATTTTCCTGCCCTTTCTCACGTTTTAGAACAATAAGCCAACCCTTCCTAACACATTCTTGAAATTCTGGTTGGTCTGATTTTAACAAATTTCTAACGAGGACATCTTGTTTTGCACCAGAATTTAAGAGATGTAACAAGACACAGAACAACTCCAAGGGGCAGGCCCAAGGGTTGGTTGCTGGGGCAACTGGTCTCTTGTTGAATGTACCTGTTAGATGAACTAATTAATTAACCTGATAAAAATTGTAGAAATCCAATACCATGTGTGCACAGAAAGCTTTTGTTACAGAACTGCTTCTGGAAATATTATTTTTGATATTATTTGGAAAGATTTTGCCTTTTGATTCTGGCAGCAGGAGACATCCCTGCCTCCCTCCCTCCCCAACACACGAGGCTCTGCCCAAGGATCCCACGGGTCAGGGGGATCAGCTCCCATTAAAATGACTCCACGCTCAGGCAGGAAAAGCTGGGAAAAACTCCTTACCAGATTAGTGAAGATATAGGTGTAATAGGCAGATGCCATCCCCAGTTCAGCTGCCTGTGAAGGAGAGGAAAAAGAGATTAAACCAGAGCCTGACAATCTCCAATCTCCACCCCAGCAAAGCAGAGCCAGGGCCACATTTTGCTTTTTCAGGCTTATCTCTCCTTGCAGGAAGGGAGAGTGGGACACAGCAGCATGGCTGGACCTGGGAAATTAAAGTCTGAGGAAGCAATTTTTCAGCAGGACTGAGCCTAGCTGAGGTCACCTGCCCATACCAGCCCTGACAAAGCACCTGCACAGAGGGGAATGACCCAGCTCCAGACCCCTGGGAGCATCCCAGGGCATTCTGAGATGGAATTCAGGGATTCCTGCATCCATCCAAGGACAAACTCTAAGGAAATCACCTGTGGAAAGCTTTTGAACTCCCAGCAGAAAAGCTTTTGAACCCCTGACAGACCCCAATGGTCCACAATGGTTTGGAAAGGCGAGGTGGGTCCTGCAGCTCCAGTCCTGAGAGCTCCAGAACCCCTTGGGATGAGGAATTCCACGATGTTTTAAGAGGAAAATGAGGATTTCTGCTTATTTTGTGTGTGGATGCTGCTTTGTTCCTGTTTTGGGACATAATGAGGGAAATGAGCAGCTGAGAGCTCCAGGCTTTTCCCTTCCACCACAAACACCATGATGGAGAGAGAAAGGCAGGAAAAGCTCTTGGGAGTTGCAGGAAAAGGACAATCAAGCCACTGGTGGCTTTCCAGTTTTATCAGTCAGATTTGGGCTCAAATCCCACAAATTAATGAGCATGGATGAGACCCAGTAACTCAGTTTGTTCTTCAGAACTGAGACAGGGCTGTGCTGGCCACAGAAATAGAAGAAAACAGGACAAAACTGTCCAGGGATGCAGAGAGAAGGACACAGAATTTTCCATGGGGATGAGCTGTTCTGGAGATCACAGAGCAGATAACTGAGGCCCTTTCCCAAAATTCTCACTACACAAGGAGCTGGTTGTGGGAACAGATGCTCAGGAAAGTGGGGCATTAATCTGCAGATGCTCCTGGAAGCCTCTGTTCCACTGCCAAGCACAGCTGCTCTCAAATCAAGCTTCCAGACCCTGGCAAAGAGGTTTTCCCAGCAGCCCAGACCACACAGAGGAACGGGAGGCAAGGAGGGAAGGAGCAAAGGCAGCACCTCCTGGTGTGAGCTCCTTTTTATCCCTCCCAGAAGCTGTGATGACAGAAAGGAGGGAAGGAAAGAGAGAAAGAGGCGGCTGGGATTGCACCACTCCCTTTTCCTGTCTTTTAGCTGTTCCTGTGCAAACCTGAGGCCACCACCACTGCTGTGCCCAGCCCTTGGCTGCACATTGTCACCCTGTCCCTCACCCAGGTGGCACAACAGACACAGCAAAGCCATTTGCTCCAAGGAGTCCCCAAACCCAGAGGAGGCCACCTCATTTTTCACCCCCTCCACAGCAAAACTTATCACCAATCCCTTCCTGGGGACAGTGACAATGCCAGCTCTCCCTGTCACCCACTTTGAGGTCAGGGTGTTTGGTTTCAAGGGTAGAAAATCAAGGTGAGCAGCAAAGCAGTGCCTCTCCCACCCATTCACCCGGCCCTGGCAGCTGGGAGCTGGGAATCTGGGAACCATCCATGTGTCTCCAGCCCATCTGTGGAGGGTGAGGGATGAGAAACCGTGAATTCCTGCTCTCCTGGGACAGACCCAGCAAACCCACAGAGAGATTTCCTGCTGTGGGACAGGACATGGATTCACCTGATGCTCAGCACCAACCATCCCTGGCTCCCAATAAAATATATTCCAGCCTCCCAAGGTGCAAGGAGTTGTCAGACCAGGAGCTCTTGATTTATTACCCTCCATTCCTACAGTCCTCTAGCTGGAAGAACTGGGTTTGACTGGGAAATTTTGGCAATTTCTGACATTTCTCAGGGGTGGCAGAAGGAGCTGGAGCTGGGCAGGGAGATGTGGGTGCCTGGAGAGAGCTGCTGGGAGCCTGTGGGAAGTCACTATAGCAACAGAGGAGGGGGACAGCCCTCAGCAGCCAGGCAGCAACAGGGGAAAAAGGGGAAAAAACCAACCAAATAAACCCCCCTGAGTAGACAACCCCAAAAATCCCCCAAACTGTCTATTTAGAAGTGAAAACTGCATGTAGTAGAATAAAAATCTTTTGAGGGGAGAGAGGACTGATAAAAACATCCCTGTTGGATGTCATCGGGGTAAACATGACACAGGCAAGGCCTTTGGATGACACGTCCTGTGACAAAACAGGCAGGACAGTGTGGAAAGCCAGGGGGATCCCAGTGCTTGGATCCTGCCTCCCTTCAGGAATGTGCTTCCTGTTCCCTCCAGGATGTGGGAAACTCTGCTCCATCTGGAGCCACTGCTCAGTTTTGAAGCAGGCTATCAAAACAAGTGCTAGAAACTGCAGCCAGAGACCATTTAAAAATAAACAGGATTAAAATAAAATCTCGGTTAATAAGACAATAAAAAGAAAAAGAAGGAAAAAGTTAGACACATAATGGGAAGGGGAAAAGGAGGCACAAGAGTCATTTCAGAGAGCTGAGCAGTCCTTCACAGCTCCTGGATGGCAACACCACTTGTGGAGAGCAAACAAATCCCCTCAGAGCAATTCAACCATTACTTGCACAGATCCAGCCCTGGAAATTCCATCAGTGGCAATTCCCCTCTGGGCAGAGCCCATTCCCAGCACTGCTGTGGGAATTTTCACATTTCAATTGATGCCTTAAGTTTGAGCTTTCATATTTTTCAGGTTCTGTGCTGTTTAGTGTGTGGGTCTGGGTTCATGTCAGGGGATGGTGAGCTCTGCACAGAGCAGGGAGACAAAACAATTCCTGCTCCAGCTGGGCACCAAGGACAAATGATCCAAATCTCAGCCCAGGAGCACAAACCCCGTGGGCTGGAGAGAGAAAAACAAGCAGGATGGGACTGCAGGGGCTGCAGCTGGGATTGGACACTGAACTGCAATGTGCACATGGAGCAGAGCTGAGCCCAGCGAGAGAACCCGGCAGCGCTCGTGCATTTTGGGACCATTTGGGTTCATCTTAGGTGCAGCCCTGGCTGGGCTCTGGTGCTGCCCAAGGTGCATCCATGGAGGCCTTTTAATAAATCCCTGCTTTATTCTTTAGCTCTGTCTGCCTCTGGTCTAGGCCAGCCTTCCAAGGCATCACAATATCCCACAAGAGCTGGCTGGGGGGAGCAGCAGCACCCCAAGGGACAGAGGAGGGATGCTCACTATCGATGCAAGGCAACCCCAATGCAGGAATAATGTGCTCTGACTCCAAATTACTTGAGAAGGCTGAACAATTGCTTTATTAAGCTACACTGTATTATACTATATTACACTATATTAGAACTATACTAGAACTAAATCATACTAAAGAAAAACCCGTGACTGTCTCTGACTGTCACAACACAGCTTTGACTAACTGGCCAATCCATATAAATAACCACCACCAGAGTTCAATTAACAAATCACTTTTGGTAAACAATCTCCATAACACATTCCTCATGTGCCAAGCAACAGGAGCAGCAAGTGAGATAAGAATTGTTTTCTCTTTGAGCTTTCTCACTGCCTTCCCCAGGAGAAATCCCTGGGCAAGTTGTGCCTGCTGCTCCCTGCGAATCTCACCTTCTGCAGGATGGTGTGGGACATGGAGGCGTTGGCATGGACGATGATGGTGGCTGTCTTGTCATCTCGGATCTCCTTGAGGAGCGGGGTGGGATCCCGGCTGTCGTCCAGCATCCGCACCGACAGCGTGTCCTTGGAGATGAGGAACTGCCGCAGCAGCTTCTCCAGGTTTAAAAGGCCTTTGGAGGAAAGAGAGAAAAAGGAGAGATCCCTGTGAATCTGAGGCTTGGCTCTCCCATGGAACATCCATGGCAGGATCCATTCCTGAAGTTCTGGGTCTGGGCACTGCAAAGGAAAGGATTCGGTGCTTGGTCCAGCAGGGAATGAAAAATTATTGAGTTATTATTTTTCCACTTATTCCAGCTGTTCCCCAGGAAAAGGGAGTGGAAGATAAGGATTTAGGGCTCCAGCAGGGAATGAGAAATAATGGAGTTATTCCAGCTGTTCCCCAGAAAAAGGGAGAGGAAAGGAAAGGCTTTGGGGCTCAATTCTGGGTCCAGCAGGGAATGAGAAAAAATGGAGCTATTCCATATGCACCCCAGAAAAAAAAAAAAAAAAAAAAAAAGTAGAAAGGATTTAGGACTCATTGCTTGGTCCAGCAGGGAAGGAGAAGTGATGGAACTACTCCAGCTCTTCTCCAGGAAAATAAAGCATCCCCAGACTCATCTTGGGAAGAGATAAGACCTTCAATACAATACAATAAGGTCCAGACAAGGTCTCCATTATCTCCTTGCATGTGGGATTGTTCTGCTTACTGGAGGATTACTCTTCCTCCTCCCCCTTTGCATTTCCAGCTCCCAAATTAAGTGGAGGTGCAGCTTTTTCGGAGCTCTTGGAACATTCTGATGGGTAGCTGCTCTCTTCCAAGGGGATGAGAAGCTCTGCTGAGAGCTGGAGGTCACTGCAGAAATACAACATTAAAAAATCGTGACAAAAATTAGGATGGGCACGTCAAGGGCTCCTTCCAGCACAGCTGCCTTGAAGCCTAATAAGATGTCAAAACTCCCACTGCAGATTTTGTTAGTCAAGAAAGCAGCTTTGATAGAGCCTCTCTTGTCTCCAGCTGCTGAGTTTCATCAAGAAATAACCTCCTGCCAAGTTTGATTGACCAGAGGAACCAGCAGATGGATTCATCAGCAAGACACAGACAGCACAGCCACACATCCCATCCCCTCAGGAAGACAACCCCAAAAGAGGGGGGAGACCTGAGCTGGAGAAACAGAACTATCAGCAGGATCACAGCCCAGCTGGCAGAGAGGCAAATTAACCCTCAAGTCAGAGTTTTACTCTTAACCTGACTTATTTTTGACTGCACGAATCCATTCATCCCCCAGCAGGTCAGGAGGCAGGGAAGGGTCACACTGGGTGGGATCAGCACTGGAGCTCTGCTCTCAAGGACTGCCAGCACTTCACCAGGTGACAAAGCAGTGCAGGAAAAGGGACACATCCAAGACGAGGAGCCTCTCGTTCCCAGGGAGAGGTTTAAAGCACTCTGAGTTTGCTCTGAGCTCCTGACAATGCTCTTTCCTCTCCCCTTTTCTCTAGGTACAGGCAGGAACACAGCAAGGAGTTATAAAAACAGCTGTGCCAGGACTTTTCTGGGTCACATCAGCTTCTTCTTCCTCAGGCAGAGAACTCACTCTGCTTACAGCACACAAGGACCTCACCTGAACACTTATTTTGTCTTCTAACCCAGGCAAATAGTAAATTTTACATAAGCCCTCCATTTGACCCTCGAGGATGTGGCAAGGTTTATTTTCCCCTCATTCCACATCTGCAGGGGGCCAGAGAGGCTGCTGCAAATCACAGCCCTGACACTACCAAGTTTACTTGCAGCTCATCCCAGCGAACTCTGCTGCTCTCAAACCCAGGAAAATTTTTCTAAAGCTCATCAGGCACAGAGAGGAAGAAGTGGAACCAAGAGAAAAAAAAAAAAAGTCATTTCATCTCCACCTTCAGCTCGAGGAAATTATCATTTCCAGCATGTTAGATCCTACCTGTAGCCTCATCCAGCCTCCTGCGTGCAGCTGCTCTTGCTGTGTGCAGGGAAGTCTCTATTGTGCAGAGATTCCCCTTTGTTTGATGTTGAGAGGATGTGAGACTCTTGCTGCTGCTGCTGCTGCTGCCAGACTGGCACTTCAGAGGGATGTGAACCCCAGCAAAGGCTTGCAGACTCCTCCTGGCACCTTTGAAGTACCAAAGTGAGGACAGAGAGGCTGCACCAGGCACCTGCTGCTCGAACACTCCCATGGGGAGCTCTGAGAGAGGTTCAGGCTGGCCTGTGGCAAGTCCTGACCTTGATTATTTGATTTTTCCTTGTGCAAACATCTGGAGCTGGCAGGAGCAGCCCCACTCCCGAGCTCTCAGCAGCAGAACTGCTGCTGGGAAGGAGGAGAGGCAGGAGCTGGAGCTTTCCTGGAGTGCTACATCCCTGTTTAGTGCTCCTGCTGATGGAGGAGCTGCTCCTGGGAAGGAGGAGAGGCAGGAGCTGGAGCTTTCCTGGAGTGCCAGATCCCTGTTTAATGCTCCTGCTGATGGAGGAGATGCTCCTGCTGATGGAGGAGCTGCTCCTGGGAAGGAGGAGAGGCAGGAGCTGGAGCTTTCCTGGAGTGCTACATCCCTGTTTAGTGCTCCTGCTGATGGAGGAGCTGCAGGGCTGCTGGTGGTTCCACCCCTGGACAAGGATGGTTGGGAAGAGAACATTCCCATCATCCAGCTTTGCTTTTAATTCCAACACCGGTGCTTCAAACAGCTCCCTGGATGTTTGCATTTTTAACATGCAAATATTTTAACAATTTAATATTTTAAAAAAGGATCAAGGAAGTGCACAAGGCCTTGGACCTCCATGCTCTGGTCACCCTTCCCAAGCACTGGGTGTTATTCCCTCCCCTCTGGTAAACAGAGAAGCTCCTAAAACATCCATGCACTCCTCTATTTGCCTTTTTGGGTTAAGATTTCTGTGGACCCACACAAAACCTTCCAGAGCAGCTCCCAAACCAGCTAATTCTTAAACATCACAGAGAAACTGAGTATTCTATCCACCAAACCGAGTCACACAAATCTCATTCTATTCATGGCATTACATTTTACATTCCCCAGGGCATTACACTTAGGCTGGCCCAAGTTCTTTGACTTTAGGGGTCATTTTCTTCTTCTGCCAGGAGAAATCAGAGGCAGTCCCCAGAGGAAGGATGTGACAGGATGAGTGTGGCAGGGTAGGGCCCAGGGGTCCCATCACACAGCCTCGCACTTAAACCAAAGCAGCTCCAGCTTGCCCCTCCTGGGATCTAAATAATAACATCCCTCAAAACAGCATTTCCTCACTGATGAGCAGGCAGCTCTTATGCTCCCCTCAGCTGCCTCAAGGGAACCTTCCAAAAGCCTGAAATGCCTCCAGTTAGTTGTTTAAGGACTGTGCTTAGGAGCAGTGCATGTCCTAAGGGAAAATCAGGGTTTGTGCTCCTACATGAAGCTCAATTAAGCCTTGTCTGTGCTCTGTTTCAGTCAGGGCATGTTGGGCTTCAAGCCTGGCTCTGATCAGGTCCTTGCTGAGCACAAAGAGCTGGGAGGATGAAAGGATCCTGTCCCACTGCTTCCCTGGGTCTGGGAAGGACTCAGCACATCCTAAATATTGAGTTATCCAGCAGCAGCAGAGCGAAATAAATTGGATTGCTTCAGGTAAGAGGGTTTGATCCAGCTAAATAAAAATCATATTAATCATATTAACCCCGGTGGGAGACACCTGGCCCAGGAGCAGGGCAGGGGTGCAGAGCCCTGAGCGTCCTGCACGGCAGCTGAGAAAACCTAATTATCTTTGCTTCCCTTCTTGCTTAAGGTTAAGGTTAGACAATGAAAAATTCCAGCTCTGGGAGTGATGTGGGAGACCATTTGCATGATTTTAATTGCATCATTCTGAGCCAGGGCCTTTCCTGGGGTGGATGTGAGCACTGCTCACTGAGGGTGATTTACTGCCCGACCTCAGCCTGCTGCCCTGGGGGCACAGAAAGCAAAAAGGAGAGCTGAAAACACTCCAGTTCCTTGGGTCCCTGTGCAGGAATCTTCCATCAGCTGCTGCTGGGGAGTTTGCCCAGGGCTAACTGGGAATGGTGCTGGCCCAGTCAGAGAGCAGCATTGTTCTTCTAAGTTCTTCTAAGCCTTCTGATGTTTACATTCTTGTAACGAACTTTCTCACACAGTTTTATGTAAATAATCATTGTTTTACATTCTTTTCTGGAGGAGGTGGAATTTGATGGATTGTTGGTTTGTCCAGTGTCATTGGAGAGGTGGCACTGTCACCCTCCCATCCACTGTCACTTTTGAAAATCTGTAAATGTTGGGAGTCTGAAAATAAAGTTCTCTTCTTTTTACCTTGGATGTTCCAGAGTGCATGTTGTTTTATTTCGTGTCCTCGAGTGACACATTCCCAAAGCTGTCCCTGCACCCAGGGGCCTTTCCAAAACCCCTCTTCCAGGCTGCTGTGGCTGGCAAACTCCAGAGCTGCCGTGGCCACCCCAAATCTGCTGTCTCGAGTGACACATTCCCAAAGCTGTCCCTGCACCCAGGGGCCTTTCCAAATCCCCTCCCAGGCTGCTGCAGCTGGCTGTGTGCCAGAGCTGCTGTGGCCACCCCAAGTCTGCTGCAGGTGACCTCAGAAAGCACAGGACACACTTTGCTCTGGGATGCAGAGCCTGCTCCTGCCACAGCAGGAGCTCTGCAGGGATGGAGATGGCCCTGACGAGGGTGAAGATGGCCCTGGGAAGGTGGAGATGGCCCTGCTGAAGTGGAAATGGTCCTGCTGAAATGGATATGTCTCTGACATGATGGATCTGGCTCTGATGAGATGGACCTGGCCCTGTCAAGGTGGAGATGGCCCTGCTGAGGGTGGAGATGGCGCTGATGGGGGTGGATATCACCATGTCAAGGTGGAGATGGCCCTGCTCAGGTGGAGATGGGCCTGCAGAGATAGATATGGCCCTGCTGAGGGTGGAGATGGCCCTGCCAGGGTGGAGATAGCCCTGCTGAGGAGAAGATGGCCCTGGCAAGGTGGAGATGGCCCTGCTGAGATGTATCTCGCCCTGCTGAGGAGGATTTGACCCTGCTGAGGTGGATATGGCCCTGCTGAGGGTGGAGATCACCATGTCAAGGTGGATATGGCCCTGCCCAGGTGGATCTGGCCCTGCAGAGATAGATATGTCCCTGCTGAGGTGGATCTGGCCCTGCCCAGGTGCAAGGTCCACTCTCCAGATGCACAGTCACCAGCAGATGCACGGCTGCAGAGCCAGCAGGGCGTGCACTGTGCTGACTGTCACCAGCAGATGCACGGCTGCAGAGCCAGCAGGACGTGCAGTTACTCAAATCCCACTTTTAGGCCACAAACTGCACATGGCTTTGGGCAAGCCACATTTCAAAGTGCTTTACTTGACTAAAAATAATCTCCAGAAACAAGCCTAAGCCTTTCTTAAATTTTTTTTTCCCTTATCCAAAGCCCATATGTGGAATCAAAACACTCTTCAGATGGTCAAACAGAAAGCAGGATAATCTCTACCCATCCCACTCCACCTCTGTAAAACTCCTCCATGGGGCACCAGGGTGGAGAAACTGGAGTGGAAAAGGCTGCTCTGAGCAGAGACACGAGGAGCTGGGACCTTCCCAGCAAGCACCAAACGAAGAGGAAATGAGGCAGGCAAAGCCAGCCTGGCCAAGACTTACATTCAGCTTTGGCACAGATGAGGCAGGCAGTGGTGCAGTTGAAGAAATTCAGGATTCCTGCCACGGCCACGCTGATGTCGGTGTTGCTGGGGTGCAGGTTGAGGGTGGTGAACCTCTGGAGCTGCAGCTTCAGGAACTCCTCCGGAGCCACTTTGAAGTGAGGAACCTGAGCGTGGGGAGGAGGAAAGAAAATATAATTAAAGAGGAAGTAGAAATGAAAACAAGTAAATCTGCGGTGAAGGGCCTGTGGTGTGAAGCACACAGCAGGCAGAAAGTGGAATATCCCAATAAAATTGCAGAAGCAGCAGTGGAGTCAAGAGGGGAGGGTGGCACTCATGCAGAGGCAGAGGAAAATAATTATCACAGCAACGAAAAGCCACGGGAAGGAGTGGAGCAGGAAGAGTCTTGCTGAGCAACTCAGAGAAAGGCATCGGGGACTGTGATTACAGCACAGGAAACCTTCCCTGTGAGTTCAACCTAATTAGCTGGGGCACTAATTGTGGCTGGGCCCAGCCTTCGTTGGGGAAGGATGCTGTGCAGGGACACAGGGATCATCCAGGGCCCCGAACCCAGCCCTGCCTGCTGCATGGAGGTGCCACCAGGTAATTAATTAGCAGAGATGAAGGCAAGAACAAGACGACCCCACGCTGGCAAGGCTGGGCAGAGGAGGAACAGCTGCAGCAGCCAGAAGCTTTGGGCATTTCTGATCAACAGGAGGCCAGACAGGGTTGGAAACACCAGTGCTGGGCTTGTCATGGATGCAGCAGAGCAGCAGCTGGAGCAGGATGTGCTCCAGGGGGAATTTTGGGAGCTGAGGAGCCGCAGGGCTTGCTTGGAGGGAGCTCTGCTGCACATCCTGCAGACTGTAGCCACGTTTCTCTTCACAGAGAAAAGCAAGGCACAGTTCTTCCCAAGAATATTGCTGGGTTTCACATTCTCCGAACCTCAGAGAAAGAAAAAACAATTCTTATTTGCTGTGCCTGTGCTGTGCCAAAGTAGAATGCAGTATGGAGATTGTTTACCCAGAGGGATGGTGTTTTGTTTCCTTGGCCCATCAGTGCGTGTGTGTGGGGACTGTCGGCTGACAGTCATGAGATGCTGTGCAGTTGGAGTTGAGTTGATGTCACCCTGATTTTTTAAGATTTTCTAAGCCTTCTGATGTTTACATTCTTGTAATGAACTTTCTCTCACTCTTTATGTAATTAAATTATTGTTTTGTGTTCTTTTATGAAAGAAGAGAAATTTGTTGGACTGTTGGTCTGTCCAGTGTCATTGGAGAGGTGGCACTGTCACCCTCCAATCCACTGTCACTTTTGGAAACCTATAAATATTAGAATCAGAAATTAAAAGTACCTTTTTCACCTCGAAAGAGCAGCATGTCTGTGTCGTGTTATTTTGTGTCCTATAGCTACAAGTTGAGTGCTTGGCAGATTCAGTTTAGATATAATGTAACATAGTGTAGCATAGTACAGAATAATAAAGTAATTAATTAAAGTAATTATTTAATTATTAAATAAATAATAAACTAGTAGTATAGAATAATAAAGTAAGCAAAGAATAAAGTAATTCATTAAAGTAATTATTTAATTATTAGTTAAATAAGAAAGTAATAGTATAGAATAATAAAGTAATTAATTAGCCTCCTGATAAGATGGAGTTGTCCTCATCATTCCTCCCTGTAAAGGCTGCAGCAGACCATGGATGGCACGGCTGGGCAGACACACAGCCCGAGCCCAGACACTGCAGCCTCAGCCAGATAAAGAGAGGCAATCTTGTTTTTCTTCTGCCGGGTGAATTATTTTGGAAGAAGCAGAAGTCAGAGGAAGGGAAACATCTGCCACAGCTTTGTTAGCAGCGTGTCAGGTCCTCTCTGCCTCTGTTATTGGTCCTCCCGAAGCCATCAGCCCCTGCCTCCCCACCTCTCCCCTCCTGGGAGAGCCTATTAGCAGCTCATGAAGGCTGCTTTATTGACAGCAGGAGCTGCTGGTTAGCAGAGGGGAAGTTAAGGAGTAATAAGCTGCTCTCTGCCTTGATTCCAGCCCGCAGCCCTCACCCAGGCAGGGAAGGGTGGATTCCCACAACCAGAGCAGACAGGGCAGCTCCGGGCAGCATCCTGATCACTGCTGGGAGGGATCCAGACCAGCCTGGGACCCCGAGAGAGATGCAGGCACGGGGGAAGGAATCCACCAGCACATCAGGGCTGAGCACAGCCTGTTCAGCCCTGCCCTCATCCCCAGGAACCTTCCATCACCATCCTCTCCTGTCCAAGAGCTCTTCCCCAGCACAATTCCTGTTTCTCGACAGGGGAAAGGGATTCTTGTGCGGAAGGAATCCACACAGCACATCAGCTCTCAGAGCTGAGCACAGCCCTGCTCACCCCCTGCCTTCATCTCCAAGAATCTTTCTTCACCATCCTCTCCTTTCCAAGAGCTCTGCCTCAGTGCAATTCCTCTTTCTCGACAATGCCCTCATCCCCAGGAACCTTCCGAATCCACACAGCACATCAGCTCTCAGAGCTGAGCACAGCCCTGCTCACCCCCTGCCTTCATCTCCAAGAATCTTTCTTCACCATCCTCTCCTTTCCAAGAGCTCTGCCCCAGCACAATTCCTGTTTCCCGACAGGGGAAAGGGATTCTTGTGCGGAAGGAATCCACACAGCACATCAGGGCTGAGCACAGCCTTTTCAGCCCTGCCCTCATCCCCAGGAACCTTTCATCACCATCCTCTCCTGTCCAAGAGCTCTGCCCCACTGCAATTCCCCTTTCTGGACAGGGAAAAGGGATTCTTTGGGCATGAGAGGGGTGACACAGGGCAGGTTCATCCCCCAGAACATCAGTCCCTCCAGCTGGTGCTGGGTGCTTGCCTGGGGACTCTGCTCTCTTTCCCTGAGGGTGGGCTGCAGGCACAGGGGGCTCTGCCTGGGCTCTGTGCCCCAGCTGATGCTCCTGGGACGTAAATTTACAGGTTTACATCTCGTGGAGAGAACCAAACACCTCAGGAGGGCACCAGCACTCATCTCTCCTTTCTGAAGAAAAAAAAAAAATAAATCGGGAGCCTCAGATCAGAGGCTCAGAATGAATCTGTATTTCAGAGGGAAAACACTTGCAGAGTTACCTTTCCTGGGATGGAGCACACATCCAGGACATTTAGCAAGAGAAAACACAACAAAACACCCCCAGGAGACCCCTCCTGCTGCAGCCCCGTGCTGGAGGATCCCTTCCATCCCTCAGCAACAACAACCAGCACTCATTTGTGAATGCAAATCATTTACAGTGCTCAGTCCCAGCCTCCCCTGTTGGAAGCCTGGGCTCCAGAGAGAGCCACTAAATGGCTGAGAGATGTTATCTGCCTTTAAAGGGATGAACTATGAGAAGAGAACTCAATTTCTTCTCCAGAGTGCAGAGCCAGATCCATGTAGGAAGGTTTGAGGCTTATAAAATATTAAATCCAGCACATAGCCGGGACACAGATAAAAAAAGGGCTTGAACTGATGGAACAGCAGTAAACATAAAGCTCCCCAAGAATGTGCACAAAGCCCCAGCAGGAGATTTGGGTTGGCAGCCAGCAGGGTGAGCTTTGGGCTTTGCAGCCCTCAGTCAGTGGGGACGTGGTGATGAATGTGAGGAGGAAAAGGGGGTGCAGAGAGGAAAAGGGAGGCAGAAAGAGGCAGCAGAAAGAAAAGGAAGACATTTCAAAAGTCTGTGCATGAGGAGGAGGGGTGATCAACCACGCTGTCCACTCTGAGCACCACAGAGGAACTTCTCCACTTACCTCCTTCTCCCCACAGATGTTGCTGATAATGGAGCTGGAGGCTGGGCTGGAGGAGGGTCCCAGGACTCCCACCACGCCTTTGGGGAGAATCTGGCACACTGTGGGCAGCAGAGACAGGGAACAGAGGTCAGAATTCAGCCCAAATTCCAGCAGAGAGTGCTGCTCACCTCAGTAAGGACACGGCCTCATCTCCTTCACACAACACCCCCTGTACCATTCCCAAAATTCCTTTATTCCCCGTGAAGCACCGTCACCCTGCCTGTGGCACTCCCCATCTTCCCCCAGCCTTTTAAAACCCCTCCTAAACTCTCCCCCAAACCCCAGAATTATCATCTCTGACCCATTTCTGTCCTCTGGACATAAACATGAACTAAACTTTATGGAAGATGCTACACACAGCAGCGACCTGGCTTCAAAGCATCAAACAGACGTAGCAATTTCTCCCCTCATCTTTGCAGAGTTCAGTGGTAAAAACAAGGATTTCATTGCTGGTTTTCATTTGTTTTGTGTTGTTTTCTTCCTGGCAGTAGTTAAATCTTCTGGCTCCCTGCCACCAAGGTTAGCAGAACCATAAAAAACACCTGACAAACTGAAGTTAAATCTCTTCCTGGGTTAAACTGCAAGGTTTTTGGTTGGTTTTTTTTTTGGTCCTCTTAATTCACAGCACAAATCCAGCTGCATTTCACTGCCAGGAGCAGCCCAGCTGGTGTCACCTCCCTGCTGCCATCCCCTGCATCACTCAGAACCCTTCCTGCAGAGCAGAAAAAACCTCCTGAACAGGAGGGGAGAGCCCCCCATGTCTCAATCCCTGAGCTCCAAAGCCTCCTGAGAGCTGCTCTGCCTCAGCATCCTCACACACTCAGCTTTTTCCCCAGACAAAACCACATTTACTCAGCTGGAATCTTTCTGGAGGGCAGGAAGGAGGCACCAAAAGGGAGAAAAGAGGCACCAAAATTCTTATGAGTTCTGCCCAGGGGAAGCTCACAACGTTTCTGTGTGTGAAAACCAAACCACTGTATCCCAAAGCTGAGATTTCAGCTCTCATCACTATCAAACCTGCCTCTTCCCCTGGCTTGCACCTCAGAGCAGCTCTTGTGAGGGTTGTGAAGAGTTATTGCAGCTGGAAAAATTCAAATTTGAACATGTTTTTTTTGGTAGTAAAGTGAATTGATCATCAAAACTGCTGAGCTACAGATCAGAGATGGGGTTTTAGTGACTTCAAATCTTTCAGTCAAGGCTGGAAGTGGAATAAAAGCTCACTGTGCTTGGGTTGGTGTTAGAACAGCAAGTTTGGGGTTGAGGGTGGGGTTTGGGAAGTGAACATCTACAGTTTCAAGTTTTCCCAGATAAGCTGTGGCTGCCTCTGGATCTCTGGAAGTGCCCAAGGCTTGGAGAACCCTGGAGGTTGTCCCTGCCCATGGCAGGAGGTGGCACAAGATGATCCTTAAGGTTCCTGCCAACCCAAACCATTCTGTGATCTCCGGCCTTAGACTCCTCCACAGCCTCATGACTGGAAAATGAGGCCCAAATCTCATTTAATTTGTCACTTTGGGGAATTGGTTTTGCTTCTCTTTTGAAGGAAAAACTCCTTATCCTCCCCAGTCCCTGCTGATTGCTCCAACTTCTTACAGAAAGTGCTCATGAAATGCAAACATCTCCTCTTGGGTTTTCCTTCCTTCTCAGCTCCCTCTCCCTCCAACAACTCAATCTCCTACGGAATGAGGGATATTTTTCTGCAGCATCTTCAAAGGAATCCAGGGCTGGCTTTTCCTCTGTGCTTAAAAAATTTACAGGCACTTAAACCTCTCCAGAAGATCCTTTTAAATAAGGAGCAGCAGCCTGAAAGCCTCGCCTGCTGCCTCAGCAGCACTCATCAGCTCTCCCTCTCAGCTCTGCCATTCAGCATCCGTGAGGCAGGAGCTACTCCAAGCCCTCCCTCTTTCACAGGTCACCAGGACAAAATTCCTGGGGAAAATTTCGTTGTGCCGTGCAGGGGAAAGTTTGGGGAGTGATTTTCTTCAGGTGCCTGCTAGCAGGAACAGAAAGTGGGTTAAGTAGCCATAGCAACAGGGTTGCAACAACTGGAGGAAGAAAAAGACCTGGCTTATCACTACCAGGGGGAAACATCCACAAAAATGAAGGAAAATGAATGGAAACAAAGTGGAGGTGCCTGAGGGAAAGGTTTTGACCACATTGGAAAGCTTCTCTTGTAACCCAAGCACATTCCCTGTTTCAGAGTGTTACCTGATGTTGTCAGGTCTCCACAGGGAGAAAAGGCTCGACCTGGCTGCTGCCATGGGCAAACACACAAGCACTTGCAGGATGTGGAAATGTTGGTCCTGTATGCAAAATCCATCCAATAATCCCAGGGACTCTTAACTATGGATAATTCCAGACCCCTGCCACTCAAATCCCTTCATACTCCAACACCTGGGCACCCCAAAAGCTGTGGGCTGTGCAGGGCCCTTTGTGAGTGCTGCAGGCTCCAGCAGCTCCGAGTTTCTGCCCCAGTTTTGATGTTGTTTAGAACTCAGGGTCTCAAGAGTGCTGGAATTGAAGTGGCATCACTTTAAGAACCTCTTTACCACTGACCATCCTGGATCAGGTGTGTGCCCAGGGCACAGGGATCCTCCTTTTGTACAGCAGGGCAGTGTCCAACCATTTCCATCAGTGTATTTGGGAATTAAACCCAGGTTTGGACACTTGGGGCACAGCAAGATATTTTTTAAAGGAAGGCAGAACTGCAAATTTATTTTTGAACATGAAAAAGCAAAACAAATGAGGAGCTCTTGGTGATAAATGTATGCACATCCCCTCAGACATGGCCAGAGTGGCTTTCACTTCCTGAGACCCCAGGAAAACATTTCCATGAATCCTGCCCTGTTCAAAGCAGGGCTGGAGGGTCCCTCCAGAGAGAGGATCCACCCCTGGGGCAGAATCATCTCATTCAGAGCACACAGATACCTGAGCAGGCTTTCAAACAGAATGCACTGAAGATTCCTGGTTATAATTCAAAATAAAGCAGCAGGGAAAGAGTGGAAACACCTCAGGAGGTCCCTGATTGCAAAACACAGCCGGGATCTCCAGGGACAGGGACTGGTCACGGGATTCTCGGAGAGAAAACACCAAGTGCTTAAAGAAAAGGGGTTCTAGAGATGCTCCTGAAGCATTCCTTGTGCTTCCTGACAGGAACCTGCCACCAGAGAGGTCTGGAGAGGTTGGGGATGCCCTGGAAGTGTCCAAGGCCAGGTTTGACAGGGCTTGGAGCAAACTGGGATAGTGGAAAATGTCCCTGCCCATGGCAAGGCATGGAACAAAATAATCCTTAAGGTCCCTTCCAACCCCAGCCATTCCATGATTCCCTGATAACCAGAGCAGGCTGAAATCCCCCAAAACAGTGGGACAGGTAAAAAAAAAAAAACACATTGGGCCCAACACCACAGAAAGGACCCTTTGGAAGGGCACTTGGAAATATCCATTGTGTGGATCAATCAAAATCTCCAATTCTCCAGCTGCTGCCTGACCTGCCCTGGATTTCTTATTCTTATTTTTGAGAATCTTGAAAACTTCCCTGAAGGTCAAGAAGGGAAGGGAAAGGGAAAGGGAAAGGGAAAGGGACCCAAAATTACAACAGCAGAACTCTTTCACCTACTCAGCTGTGATTGAATTTGAATTTTGGGAGCAAATACAAGAGAAAAGGGGAAAAGTGCAGGTTTTGGAAAGAAAGGAATTCAGATGGAGAGCTGGATCCAGGCTGGAAGTGGCAGCAGCAGTTCCAGAACCCAGACCAAATTCCAGAAGAGTTTCCAGCCTCCCTGTGGGATTTAGGAAACCAGCAAAATGTGCTTATTTTGGGAGACTGGTTACTTTAACTGGATTCACAACAAAGAGGAGCTTAAAAGGCTGAGGAGGCCAGAGGGGACAGGGTGACAAGCAGGGAAATCTGTCCTGCCCCGACATCAAAAGGAACAAGGTGGTTTAGATAAAGACATGATTAAACAAGTCATTTTGGAGCTGCACAAAAGGAGCTGGAACATCAAACACAAAGAGAGAACAGGTTTTCCTTGAAACAGCAGAAAAAGTAACAGCTCTGCTCACAACTTCCCATTGAAACCTCCTTAAAATCACACAGGAACAGCCAAAGTTTGTGTTCATTCATAAGGATTGAATAGAAAACCAGGCATGATTTGACTGGGGTTTTAGCTGCTGGACCAGCTCAGATTTTGAGGCTCTCTTACATTAAAGCATCTGAGTCAGTCAGAAGGGATAATGGGAGAAAAACAGCTCCAGAAAAAAACTTTAAAATATAATACAAGATAATTAATATAATATAATATAATATAATATAATATAATATAATATAATATAATAATAATCTATAAAATATATAATAACAATATAAAATTAATACAAAATATAAAAAATAAAATAACCCTGCCTCCCCAAATAAAACCCCTTACTCCCCAAAATTCTTCCTTTTCCTCTATATGGAGTATGTGGTGTAATCCCAGCACTCCCAGATCTGACAGCTAAACATGGAGCTGTGATATTTAAGAGTGAATCAAAGTGTGTGAAATGTGAGAACAGTATTAAACAGCTGTAAACAGCTCTGCAGTCACAGGTTAAAACATCTCAACAGTTTTTATTAATATTGTGTGTCATAACAAAAACCAGCAACGTATTGAAGCATTTGAAAGCCATGAAAGCCTTGAAATTTAAGTTCAGGAATCTGATTTTCCTCTGCCACCAGGATAAATCAAGAATAACATCAGTGACATTAATAGCAGAGCTATACAGAATTCAGATTATTCCTTTCCTAAGAAAAGCTTCCAGACATTATTTCCCTCTGAAGAAAATGCAAATAATACACTGCAAAATTCACCAAAATCAAGCCAATTTGCTGCAATTTCTACTCAAAAAATCCAAGTAAAGAAACAAAGAAAATCACCTCAAGGTGAAAACTGGAAATGGGAGATGTCTCTTCCTCACTTGCCCTGTTTCCAATTTCTCTCCAAACACAACATTTGCTGAAACCAACAATTTCTTGCATAATATTTCATTCTCAGCCAATTAATGCTCCTCTGCTGGAGAAACCTTCCAGGAGAAGAATTCCTGAGCAGTGTCACAGGCTGAAAACAAGGCAGAAATCCCTCTGGTGATCCTTACAGCAGCTCTGGGGTCACTGCAATCAAGTCTGTTCCCCAAACAGAGCTACGGGCCAGGAATGCTGCTGCAAGCAGGATATTGATGAGGAAGGATCAAAAATTGGGCTAAAAATGCCACTTTGGGATACTCAGAGAAGCTGTGGCTGCCTCTGGACCCCTGGAAATGTTCAAGGACAGCTTGGGGTGGAGCTGGAAGAGCTCAAAGTCCCTCCCAACCCATTCCAGTCTGGGATTCTGGGATTCCATGGCAATTCCCATTCCTTCTGCAAGATCTGGCCAGCTAAATTGGATCTTAATTGGTCTGGCCAGAGAAATTGACTCTTAATTGGTCTGCCCAGCTAAATTGGATCTGCCCTAATGCTGTGCCAAGTTAGGGGACAAGAGGGGAGAAAAGAGATGGGGAAGAGCAGGAAAATGTTTAAAAATGGAGTGAACAAAGCAGTGGAGAAGGGCTGGGTCCCTGAGCTGGGCTCAGTGGTGACAGGATCTATAAATAGAGCCCAGGTTCCTGCTGAGATCTCTTTATTAACTGCACACTTCTATAAATAGTGCCAACGCTGGTGCAGGAAATGAAGGAGCGATGTGCTGATGGCACAGCCCCACGGAGCTGCTCTGCCAGCTCACCTGGAGATCCCTGAGCACTGCTGGGCAGAAAAGCCACCAGAACTCCAGGAAAAACTGGCCTGCCCCAAAGCACAACACCCTGCCACTCTTTTTGGGGATAGCCTGCAGATCACACAGGCATGGAATGCAGAATCATTACGAAATGAGTGTAAAATCTCTATTATTTCAAATTATTCCTCCAGCTTTCTTGAGCTAACTGGTAATAAAAAATTATAGCCCTCCTTGAACTCTAAAGGTCGGCTTAAAAATGAGTTTAAAAAGAGGATTTCCTATTCCAAAGGGTTTTCCCTCTTACAGGGAAAAAAACTACCAGAGACCTTCAGGGTTTCTTTCAAACTGTGGGACAGTGACCATCAATTTCTTTTTATTTACCAGCACAGAGCTGACATATTGGGCACCCAGAAGAACAACCCTAATAAAGTACAGCTTCATCCAGGGATTTGGAAGTGACGTGGGAAATCTGCTGCTCTCTGGAAATTAGCTCTTCTTCATCCTCATGATTTCAAACATCACTTGAGAAACTTTGCTTGGTGTAAATAAATCTGCTGCCAATCTCAAGCTCCAGGAAGAGCTGTTATGTTTGCTGACACACAGGATTCCACAGGGTTTTAAAAACAACTTAATTGCACCCAACTTGCCCGAGAGTCACTTGTTTGCTCAACATTAAGCTCTTGACAAAGGATCAGCATTACCCCTGTTTATTGACAGGAAGATTAAAGGAAATTATTTGTCCCAAGCCACTGAGTGGTGACAAAGCTTACTGGGGGCAGGGATCCTCTCAGTCCATGCCTGAGCCTGCACCAGCACATTTCATTCACCTCGAATGAAAACTGCTCTGTGCAAGAAGCAGAGATGGGTTTTTCTCTCTGTTCCCCTTTGACTGCCACAAAATCACAAGTTCAGAGTACCAGATGGCTCCTGGGAGGAGAGCTGGGCTCTCTGGTGATGCCTCAGGTTTGAGCTTTTCTGTTTTTGGGACCATTTGGGTTCATCTTGGGTTCCTTTTGGCACCATTTTGGTTCACCTTGTGTTCATTTCGTGACCATTTTGGTTCACCTTGGGCTCCTTTTGTGACCATTTTGGTTCACCTTGGGTTCATTTTGGGACCATTTTGGTTCATCTTGGGTGCAGCCCTGGCTGGGCTCTGGTGCTGCCCAAGGTGCATCCATGGAGATCCTTTTAATAAATCCCTGCTTTATTCTTTAACTCCTCCAGCCTCTGCTCCAGGCCAGCCTGGCCAAGGCATCCCTGGGGTGGTACTCACTGGTCTCTGCTGTCTCGTACTCGCTGTCCCTCAGCAGCTCGAAGATGTCCACCTCCACCCTGGCCTTGCCCGCCCGCTCGGGCGCGCGGTTGATGCGGTTCTTGGCCAGGGTGATGGAGAGCCTCTCCCCTCTGCTGCACTCCATGGGGTCATCCAGGATGGCAGCTGTGGGGGGAAAAGGTGTAGGCATGGGTTAGGTTTGGGGTCTCCACTCCCCTCCCCGTCCCCATGAGGCCTCAAGGTTTAACTTTCATGTTTTCCACATTCTGTACTGCATTTATAACTCTGAGCTTCATATCAAGTGTCAGCAGCTCTCCTCACAGCTCAGGCACACAGAACAATCCTTTTCCAGCCCCAGAACCGCTGCAGCTTCAGCCCCAAAAAGTGCAAACAACAGGGAATGGAGGAGAGCAGCCTGCGAGGAAGGGCCTGCATCACCCGGAGCTGGAACTGGACGATGAACCCAATATGGAAATGGACCAAAACTTATAAAAGTGTGAAAACTCGTGACCCAGGATCCATCTTTGGTGTAGCCTTAGCCAGGGTCTTGTACTGCCCAAAGTGTGTCCTTTGAAAGCCTTTTCATAAATCCCTGCTTTATTCCTTTAACTCTGCCCAGCCTCTGTTGCAGGTGGCCTCTCCAGGCATCACCCACACTCCTGATCCCTGCAGGAGCTCTGTTTGTGCTCCTGTCACCACCAGAGCTGGCACATCCCCCTTCCCACACGTGGCCTTTCCTGCTGCTTCTCCCACTCCCCAGGTCCTGCCAGACAGGTGGGTGGTGAAATCTCTGCAGAGAAATCTCTGTTTTACCTGCTGGAATGCCACAGCACAGCCACCCACGCTGCCAGGCTCCCAGCACCCGCTGCCACGCAGGCTGGCTGCTCCCAGGGAGGCACATCCAGCTGCCCAACCCTACAAACCCACATCCAGGCTCTGCCTCACACCCTAACAAAGGCAGGATGTCCCCAAAAACCCCGAGATGGTTCCTTTGTGGGTGCATTGATAGGCTGCTGAGGGGCTGGAATATTTCAGGAAGAACGTGGGCAGCCCTGGGTGGGGAGGGACAAATATTTTTCAAACAGAATGCTCTTGGCTCTTGAACTCAGCTGCTGGGGCTGCCCACTCAGATCCGCGGCAGGCAGAGGGAGGTGGGGAGGGGTTTCACCTTTGTTTTCTGTTTTCCACACCAGCCTGATTTACTTCATATCCTGAAAATACTCACCAATTCCTTCTTTTCCTATCTTTTCCCAGTTTTATGAGTTAAATACTCAACAAGTCCTTCTTTTCCTATCTTTTCCCAGTTTTATGAGTTAAATTGAGTTTATTTTAATCTCATTATGTCACAAAAAGGGGTGTGCTTTCCTCCAAGGCCAGGAGCAGGCGGTTTAGGATATTATCATGGCTGATGACTTCTTTTAATTAGAACAAAGCTGGGAGAACAATTTGCCACAAACTCCACTTTTCCAGGAGAGAAGCAGAGGAGAAAGTTCTTGTAGAAACTTTTCCTGCAGCCCTGCTCCCAGGGAAGGGTAAATCAGCTGAGCCTGATGAACATCACCAAATGCAGCTCCTGCTCAGGTGCTGACTCTGTGAAATTAAAGATCAGCAGTCTCAGATTCATTAGTTTCTAATTTAAAGCTTCAAAATCACTAAATTGGGGAATGTTTGCATGTATTTTCCTAATTGGCAGCTTTCAAACAAAATCCACTTCCACTAATGCACAGTTAAGTGATTTTTAAGTATAAAAATAGTCAAAACCAAAGCATTTTGAATAGTTTCCTCAAGCCAGCTAAGCAAAAGAAAGTTTGCATAGACCTTATTTTAATTTCTGTTCAGGATGGGATTTTCTAGGAAAGGAAAGGAAAGGAAAGGAACCCAAAATAACAGCAGCAAAACTCTTTTACTTATACATCTGTGATTGAATTTGAATTTTGGGAGCAAATACAAGAGAAAGGGGAAAGTGCAGAATTTGTAAAGAAAGGAATTCAAATGGAGAGCTGGATCCAGGCTGGAAGTGGCAGCAGCAGTTCCAGAACCCAGACCAAATTCCAGAAGAGTTTCCAGCCTCCCTGTGGCATTTAGGAAACCAAAATGTGCTCATTTTGGGAGACTGGTTACTTTAACTAAATATTAAACCAGCCCCCAGGATGAGGGAGGTAATGAGGCTGAACTAATCTTTATTTATTAAAGCTGGAGGATGAAAAAAGGTCATTTAATGTTTAAAAAAGGTTGGTTTTAAAGCTTCATGGCTCGGGACACTGTGCCAAAGCTCATCTAACAGTGGCATCATTAAGTATGAACGAAAATCTTTATAGAAATTCCCTTTCATCTCCTCCTGTCTATTAAACAGGGGAAGATGCATCAAGTAAGTCTTTAATCCTGAAGACTTACAGCAACGTCTTTGAACTTTGTTGCCCTCAAAAATCACTTCTATCTTCCCCAACGTGATAAATGTCAGCGGTCTAGACTGCTTCTCCATGAATGATGAGCAAAATATTGCAGAGGGAGCCAGGAGCACCTGGACCTGCAGTGCCTGGCTCGGGGCTGCTCAGGATTTCCCAGGCACTGAGTGAAGCCACCAGGGCTGAGCTTTTCTCAGGAAGAACATCCCTTCCCATGGGATGTTCCAATTCTGACAGCAAAAACATGCCTTGTACTGTAATAATTAGCTTTTTATTCCATTTGCTCAGATTTCCCACACAATTAACACAAAATCCATGCTCCAGAAGCACCAAAGCAGAGTTTATCCCTTTGGAAGAGCTGGGTAATAATCAATCAAGGTTCAAGCAACAAGTGACTTCCACTGCAAATCTCCATCAGACACATTTCAAAGGCAATGCTCAAAGTTAAATTTAACAGCAAGAAGCACGAAAAAGAAAGGTATAATTGGGAGCCAGAGAAATGCAAGGGATGGGATGGCACCTTCTGAGAAAAGCAGATTTTAGTGAGTGTCCTGCAGGGATTTTTCAGCCCTCAGGGATGGGGGTGAGGAGGAATTGGAGCTCTCTGCTGAGCCAAGAGCTGGGAAAAGAAGAATTGGAGCTCTCTGCTGAGCCAGGAGCTGGGAAAAGATGAATTTGTGCTCTCTGCTGAGGTAGGAACTGGGAAAAGAGGAACTGGGAAAAGAGGAACTGGGAAAAGATGAACTGGAGCTCTCTGCTGAAGCAGGAACTGGGAAAAGAGGAATTGGTGCTGTCTGGTGAGGTAGGAACTGGGAAAAGAGGAATTGGAGCTCTTTGCTGAGCCAGGAGCTGCACAAGGAACAGGAATTGGATCTCTCTGCTGAGGCAGGAGCTGCACAAGGAGCTCCCTGTGCTTCCCAAGCCCCACATCCCCAAGCCCACCTGGGATGGGGCCATGTGGCTGCAGCCCTTCCAGCCCTGAGCACAGCCAGTGTGGCAGCAGATGCTCAACCCCTTCTTCCTCTTCCTTCCAGGGGAGGAAGGCCATCCCTTTCTCACCCCACCCAGCACAGCTGTGCCTCTCTGTGCCAAAGCAAGGCAGGCAGGGCTGTCACTGGTGTGCTCCTGAGCCGGGTGAGACACAGCCCCACTCTGACTCAGTGCCCAGGCAGCTCAGCCAGCGCTGAAATTCACTCCTCAGCAGCCCCAGCTGGCCCAAGCAGGGTGAGGAGCAGAAAGGCTCCATCCTGCATCCCCCAGGGCCCTGTGGCTCCTGGAGTGCTGCCTGCCCCAGCCAGACTCCCAGCCTGTGCACTCTGCCAGGCTGAGCCCGCTGCAGCCAGCTCCAGCAGCGCTCCCCAGCCCGTGATTCATCCCAAATCTAATGAAGTCACATTTTTATAACAATAACAGGGAACAGATGCCACTGCGAGGATTACACACAGCCACAACAAACTGTGTGCAGCTGACCTTTCCCCCATTCAAAGCTTTTCTTCTTTTTTTTTAATTTACATTTTCTCAGATGTTTTTTATGCCTTTGAAATGGAAAGTCATACCCAGAAACGCGATTTCCATCTCAAGGCATCTCTTGAAAACGTGGATTTAACACAGCACTGGCTTGGTAAACAGGATATTTCACTGTTCATAACCTGTCCCTCCAAGTGAAAAACACATAAAGGTACCTGTAATATTTCCTAAATGTCCCTAGTGACAGGTTAAGATCACACCTACAACCTCTTCTGATTTATGCTGTAAACACAGCCACAGGATCAGTGAGGTTGGAAAAGACCTCTGGGATTATTAAACCCAACCTGTGCCCAGAGCACAGAGTGCCACCAGTCCAGTCCCTCCCTGGACACCTCCAGGGCTGGGCACTCCAAACCTCCCTGGGCATCTCCTTCTAATATTTAACAACCTTTCCATGGGGAAATTCCTGCTGATTCCACCCTGGGGCCGTTCCCTCTCCTCCCGTCCCTGTTCCCTGGGATCAGATCCCAAACCCCCCCCTCCTATCAGGAGTTGTGCAGAGCCACAAGGTCCCCCTGAGCCTCCTTTTCTGCACTGAGCCCTTTCCCAGCTCCCTCAGCCCCTCCATGTCCTCATTGCCCAGAACAGGACACAGAATTCCAGGTGGCTCCTGCTGGCCACGCCATTCCCCAGTCCTCAAACCCTCCGTGCCCCCTTGATCAAGCTCAGAGCTGCAATCCCAGTCCAACCCAGTTCAGCTGCCCACAAGATCCAGTACCTGCCACCGGAGCCGACCAGTCCTTCCTCTGCAAACCAGGAAACCCAAAAGAATTCCAGGAAAACATTTCATTCTTCAAACACCCGTGTCCTGCTGAGGAACATCAGGAGATGCCCCGGGGATCTCCACATCTCCCCATCCTCCTGAACTCCAAACCACCTCCCAACCCAACCCACGAGGCTGCAGGGTCAGGTGATTAAAAATTGTTGCCAAAATTGCCCTTTTTTTTGTGCTTTTCTGCTCTGCTGAATAAAGTATCAACCCTCCAGGCTGTCAGTACAGTAAAGGAGAAGAAATTTGCACAGTTCCTCATTACAGGGCTGTCAAGTGGAGCTCCAGTGGAGAAACAGGTGGGATTGTATTTCCATTATAATCTCTGAAGTGCTGCTTAAAAATAAAATAAAAAGGCGTCAACACTCTATTACTCTGCGAGGAAAGAGCACCTCATCAAGGAAAAAAGAAGATCTGAAAACATAAAATCTCCTTCACAAAGAGGTTTGATAATGTTTGTCTGG